CTTACATTCGTGAGTAGGCTTGGACAAGTGCTTGGTCTGACTGTGCAGACATACTAGTCAACGTAGGAAAGCGAGGGGCAAGTTATGTTCAAGGTGAGCTACTGCTTGTGCACTCTTTATGAACGACTTTTCCGGTGTTCTATAAACAGCTATTATTGTAACCTTTTCGAAATGTCTTTCCTGATGTGTACCATTTCACAGCTGAGCGGTGCTTCGCCGCGCGGCGTTGAAGATTGCTGACTTCTTCTGGAGGTGTTGGCACTGAAGATGCTGGACCCATTGTGAGTAAAACCGGTATAGAAGCGGGAAATCAACACTCTGAGCTTTGAGGCGATGAGAGGCCGCCAATATGCTTGAGAATAATTGGAAATAGGCTTTCCGCGCTGCTATCTACTCCATCTATTACTGCCATATTAATAAGCGCTACGCCCCTCGTGCCCGATGGGCATCCACCGCTTGGGAAATATCAGAGCCAACAAGTCAGAGCCAACAAGTACGCCTCGTTTTCGCCCCGTTTTGAAGTTCCCGATGCGTGGATCATCGATAGCTACGGTTGCGTAACCGACGGCTTTCTCATTCGAGGCGCCAAGCCATTGATCCGCCGAAGCGCATCAGGCGCCGCGCCGTACCCCATGACGCGTACCACGTAATGTTACCGTATTGAGATCGATATGGTCCACTACACCGCCGGCGCGCCGTGAGATATAAATGAGTTGATGCCGTTACCGAACAGTTCACTGCGCGGTACGTGACGCGCGTCTCCTCGTTACCTAACTGTCAGAAAGATAAGTAAATAACATCAGTGCACCGTTAGGCAAGCTCTAACGGTTAGCTAACGAGATTGGGTAACGGGCTGGTCTTTCCATATTCCCGAGGTGTCCTGCAGCGGGGTTTGAATACGTCGGCAGTACCCGTTTGAATAAATTACACATTTTCCATTGAATTTTCGCTCTATTTGCATGAAAATTTGACAATAAAAAGCAATATATTCCTGACAAAACTAGGGAAGATACAAAGCTCTAGGAACTATTAATACACTACAGTACATGCTAATCTTCCAGACAGACACCGTGCTTAGTACTCTTCACATCTGTCATGACTTGCTGAGACTTGCATGGATACCCTGGACAAAGCTAAAAGTGTGAGCCCTTAAAACACAACAGCAGACTTATGAGCTTACATGAGTGACACTTATCACCTGACATGCCAGCTACATATGATTACACATCTAGATAATCGTCAGCTGTGACTACCACAGAATATATGGTGACATACCTGTCAGAGTAGTGTAGGTGCTGCTGAACCAAAGGACATATCAATCAGGAAGCTACTCCTTGAGCTGTAGCACAACCTGATTTGTACCGTAGCTTAAGGAAGATACAGTGAAGGTATACGCAAAGTGAATGGAGGATGGGAGAGGAAGAGACATGGCAGACAAGAAGCGCTTGAACCACACCGAGGGAATGCCGATGCATGCCAAGCATCAGCGGAGTTCAAAGCTGTCCCTGGCTCAAAGGCTTGAAGCATTCACAAAGTCAGTTGTTTCATTGAACACATCCTTCGTTCGTGGCGAGAAAAATATTTTGGATGCAACAAAGATGCAAGTAAGATTGGTTACTGCTCTCAGGAAGCTTCCAATATTTTATTAGCAGGAAGTAGGCTCGCAGCTACGGTTGCAATTTGGAAGAGCTCGTTTCCTCACGCTCAGGAATCTGTTAGGCGAACAGCTAGCCTGTCAGGCACAAATAGAGACTTAATGGTTAGCAAATTGAATTTGCGCCTGTACTCCTGGCTGTCCGCCGAGTAGCATCAGACCAGTCAGGCGTTTGTTCGATCATTTTGATTGTAAACTGTCAGTTACGTACACAACGGCGGTGTACAGTACTCACTACAGTCGAAGATTCTCGCTAGACGTCTCAACGTTCCCGACATCCTGAGGAGTCACTAGGTCGTTGACACTTTCACTCCCCGCTCTTTAGAACCACCAATAAGGCCACATCGCTTGTCTGTCCTACCACCTACGCCCTCACCACTCGCACAACAATTGAATACTACTCCTAAACATTATCCCCATCGTACTCACAACATTGATGCGTAGCGTACAACCAATTGCCCCACAACAAACCACAATGTCCCCAAACAGCGCCCACGCCACATCCCTCGCCTCGCTGGACACAACGTCCACACTCGCGGAGTTACACGTCCTGGACAGGTCAATCGCACGGCTCTACCACTGGCTCAAAGTAACTAGCCCCCTCACATCCGACGCGCCTCCCAAACTCAAGGGCAGGGCACAGCGGAAGCTTATCGCTATAAGCAATATGCACACCCAGAAAGAGAGTAAGCGGGATCAGGTACGTACCAAGTTGTTCGGCGCCGCGAGCGGCCACGATGGCCACGTCACCGAGTCTGGTGTCGGGGAAGATGGTCAGTCCAGCGACGACGACAGTGGCGCCAGCAGCGACGATGACAGTGGCGCCAGACAGCAACACGCACAAGACCAACTTCTGCCCGTTCGCCGACGTGTCTCGCCGCCACTCGAGCACCGCAAATATCGCGTCATGAGCCCCCCGCCAACTTTCCCGCAGAACTGGGATGAGTTCCGCTTATCTGATATTCGATTTGGATAAATACTTATTCCCCTGCGTGGCTCTAGCTCGCTCAAGTCTTGGGCAGCCGTCGCATGTCCCCAAACATAGCGGCCAAGCACCCAGAAACAACGATGCTCAACAATCAGCTTGTACAGAGGTATCCACCGTTGGCCAGTTCGCGTTGAACAGACAAACAACGAATACAGCCAGACAAGGCGCTGCCTTGTGTCACAACAACCACCTCCGATACGGCCCACCTTTGGGCCGCGCCGACCATGTCTCAGCTCCAACCGCAACGACCGGCCATCGTACGCTCTCTCGTGGTCAGCTCTGTACACATGCAGCTGTGACGGATAATCAGAGGGGAAAGAAGACAGCACTGGAGGTTAAGGCAGTCGAGGAAGAGGAGGTCAAAGAAGAGCTCCGGAAGAGGCACACTGCGAACAAGGAGAATGCTGCTGTCCGCCGCAGCAAGCACGACGATGAAGAGTGTGTTTCTGAGAGACCCAGGCCTAAGCGCAGCAGGCGCAACTCGGTCCGCCTGTCCTTCTGCTACCCGTCTCGTCACGTGGAGAACCGTGACCGAGTCCACGCGGCTGGTGTTTCCAACGTGCCAACAGCTGTGCCCACCGTGGTTGTTGCTCCCCTTGCCCCTACAACAGCTGCACCGGTCGCCATGCCAGGGCTTGCCGTCATCACACCAACCGCGCAGCTGGCTTGAGATGCCTTCGTCGTCATACCGCCTCCACCCGCCCCTGTATACCTCCTGCCGGTCAACCAAGTACTCGCCGCTCTCTCTGACCTACTGTACAATATTGGGTTGCCTCCAATAGTCGCACTCCAGCCGGTGATGACGCAGAACCTCAGGATGCAGCTTGACTTCATCATGCTGTAATAGTGCATGGTCTCCTTTTCAATGTAACGCAGAGATACACTTGAACTAGTCGTGGAATTTGAAAAATAGTTGGCCCTCCTTCTATCAATTTTATATTGCGCACCTCCGGACAAATGAGCTTGAGCGAGACTTGAGCTGGCAGTCTGCTGCTGAGACAACAAAGTTCCCTTTGCTGCAAATATGAGAGGGAAATATTGTGCTGGAGTGCTATGACATAGTCAAAATGTATGAAGTCAGAGGAAGTAGGAGGGACGTGGCTAGAACTCTGAAGGTATGTCGGAAGCAGTGAAGATTTTTTGCCCTGCGGTAGCGTCGTGGTGTCTCATCAATCGGAGTCCCAGCTCACGTGACTTGGGGCGCTTGGAGGGTAGAGACCCCGGATTGGTTCGCGACCCCTTCTGGCCTGGACTGTGCACTGACTCCAGTGGCAATAACGACATTTGAAAGCAGGTCGGACTATGCGGTCTGACAGGCAGTAGAGGGCTACACGTGCTTGTATATATAATCAAGAACTGACCCCAGTAACTTGAAGATTGTGGTCGTGTGATGCTGCGTTCAATGGCCCGGGTATCCCGGATGAAGGCCTTGCGACGACACTCGACCTGCATAATCGAACACTTCTTTAAGCTGAAAGTCTTTGAATTACACATGCAAGAGTCTGCGCATGGTCTGGTCTGGTCTCGCTGCTTGTTTGTTCACCCATCGTCGGTCGGCACGATTATTCCACCCACCACTCATTGCTCGCTAGCTGACTCAATTTGCCAACTACACGGTGTTCTTGAACACAATGCTTCCATATGCGCCAAACTAGAGTCTGCGCACGGCCTCCATGAACATAATATTTGTAATCACGAGCGCTCGACGTGGCACACATCAATTTGTCTTGGCGTTTTATATTTTATGATCAGACTACATGCGCCGAGTTACGGAAACATGCATTTGCTAAGATGGTAGAGGGACCGGCTCAGCCTCTTTCAGTGCAGCGAGTATTCTATCCTGGCTCCAATACCAATCTACAGTCTCACTTGTCACGGTAGAAGAGTCCTTTGTATGAAGGTTGCTATTGGACAAAAAAAATGAGTTTGGAATTGGTGCAGACTGTACTCACAGTTTGGCGGACAAGAGTGCGCAAACGTGAATAAATGTGCACAAACGCGCGCGAAAGCTCACGAAAGTGGGCGAACGTACATGATCGTGCACAAAAATAGACGAACGTACACGATTGCGCACGAAAGCGCACAAACGCACATGATCGTGCATGCCGCTGAGCTTTGATTTTGGTTACGCCCTGATTTGAGATTGGCGATGGCGCTAATGTGTGCGCGTTCGTGCGCGTTCGTGCACATTTGTGCACTCAACTTATTATTCAGTTTCGTGTAAGCTGACAATTGGTTTTCATTTTTGTGATTATACATCTCATTTGAATCTTCGAGTGCACGAAAGTGCGCGAAGGTGCGCGAAGGTGCACGAAGGTGCACGAAAGTGTGCGAAGGTGCGCGAAGGTGCACGAAGGTGCGCAAAAGTAAACATCTAGTGAAAATGAATTGTGATAACATGAATGTGTAGTTCGTCAAATGCACACTTTTGTGCACGTAAGTGCACGAAGGTGCACAAACATGAGCTTTTGTGCACGTTAGCACATGTTAGTGACCAAACGCGCATCATCGTGCATGAATACACACACATAACCTTAGACGCACATCAAAAACAAAAATTTGCAGCCGGTGTGAATGTGAGATTTTTTTTTGTCCAATAACACCCTTGATACCTTTGGTTCCAGGTCATCTCAGTAGTTTGCCCTCTGCAGCAGGTGGTCAGCTGGCTGGACGGCGTCCGTCCATGCCTCGAAGAACAGGAGCCATGGTTCAAAGGGAGGGGACAACGGCATCTCCCTTAAGGAGTTAGGGCCCATGATCCTTGTCAGCAACATAAGTTTAGGTGAGAACAGGTCACAGTCACTGTATGCCCCGCACTCCCACTGCTCTACCTGGGCATTGATCACGTTCCTGGCTTCGGTGAACCGCAGTTTCTCGCACTTGAATGCGCACCACAGGGCAATGTACAACAGCAACTCATAGTCGAACCGCAGGTGATGACGCGCGGGTACCAAGGGACTGTCTCTGGACAGTTTGCGCACGACCTCATAAGTAGACCACATGTCGTGCAGGAGCTCGTACGACATAAATGGGAGTGTTCCAGTGCGATGCTTTGATATTGGGCCCCCCTTGAGCTTTCCATCTACCGTTGCGCAAGTGGCCAGGTCAAAGTCATTGAGGATGAACAACGGCTTGCCGTCCGGCTCGTCTCTGAGCACCATGATATTGTTGAAGCTGACACCTCAATGCAGTATCAGCACTCTGTATCGCAGATCATGGAGGCTTAGCAGGAAGTTCAATGTCAGCGTTGATGATGATGATGATATGCAGAAGACACTCACAATTCAGCATCTAATAGACCATCTCGCCAAGATATCTTGACAATCGCAAAAAGAGCACCTCAAGAGGCTCATACTTTGTAAAGATGGGCGCGCGCAGAACACGCCTCTCGTAGTTTACTGGCTCTTCCTCGCAGAAAAGTCCACGGAAGCCTTCGCTCAGTGACCACAGGTCTCTCGCAAGACGGAGGCTGGATAAATTTTTGACCCTGGCTGCACGAGTGGCATTCAGCAGATCCTGCTCCTTGAGGCGGGTGTGCACTTGCTGAGAAAATTTGACCACGAGAGGAGTGCCGGGTGCACACGTCGGCAAATTTTCTGCCGTTGCATTGTACACTGTCGTGTGTCGACCGACAAGAGCGTACTTGGCAAAGATAGGACTGCCAAGTATGACACGGATGGGTGGCTTCTCCATCGACAATGTTGCGGAAGAGGTAGATATAGAGACAGAGGCAGAGGCAGATGGAGGCACAGACGTGATCTCAGCATTCTCGCTGTCACAGTTGGCTGGGAACATATTGATGGTGTGGCCATCCATAGATTCAGGAGGGAAGTGGTCGGGATAGGGTGTGTCATTTGGTGGACATATCTTGGGCATTGCTCCTAGCCTTTCCGCGCTGCAGCATGCCAGACAAATCAAGATAGCTGCAAATTTCTCAAAGTTCTGGATCACCGACAGCTGATCAGACGTAGCCACCACCTCTGCCGCATCATAGAGCCACAGGGAGAGCTGTTCGTGCCACAGGACTATACCGAGACAATAGGCACACGAGCTGTTTGTATTCGACAGGATTTTAATAACATAGCTGGCGGCTTGCAGTATGCCGTCAGCGGGCGCTGCTTGTCTCTGCCTCTTGGAGCTGGAGCTGGAAGATAGACTGAGGTCTTCGAAGTCAGTACCTTCCCGCTTACGCTTATGAGACAACAATCCAGCGGATGCAGTTGCAGACCGAGTCTGGGAAGGCTGAGCGGTTGTCACATTTGTCGAGCCCGAAATGGCAGAGAGAGCGGCTGATAGCAAAAAGGAGGTTCCAGATACAGTTTTGTCTGGAACCGTCAGTGGAGAACCCTGATAAATAAAATGTCAGCAAAAGCGACACGGACAACAGTGATTGACCAAACCTGCGGCCTGTCGGCAGCCTGAGGCGGCTGCATCCTCGCACACACAATCTCGCGTCTCTCTGTTGCCTTCTCTTCCTTGACCTCACAGAACGCCATTAGCTCCGTCCACTTCCTGATAGCCAGCCCTTTCTTATCTCTCCCTTTCGCCTTGAGGTCTCTCGATCACACATAGACGATGTCGGGTTTCCACTGAACGCCCTTGGTACCATGCTGCTTGTGGCGTGCGATAACAATTGGATCGTTGCATATCCAGGTGCCGCCAAAGATTGGATGGTTGCTAAATCCCAGCTGCGCAAGTCGTGGTTCTTCTTTCGCAAGCTGAAGAACTCCGTTTGCGAGGCCACAGAACGGTCCGTATCAATCGTTTTCATGGATGCACGAGCAAAATCGCGCTACCGCATCCTGTATGTGTGGCTTGTCGAACCACTTGGCCTCGGTGATGGCAGCAACCAGGGCAAGGAAATCATCCTCAGAGATGCCACAGATAGCAGTGATCCAGTGGAGGCACAGCACAAGAGTGGTGTGGTTGCGGAGATCAGTTTTGATGAATGTGTCGACGTTGTCGTGCTTGTGTGATGAGTTCTTCCTGCTCGAGGTGTTGGTCTTCAGTGGCGTGGAACCCGTCATGGAGCCACTGCCAGTGCAGTGCTCCTGCTCGCATTGTCATCAGCAGAGGTGGTTCTAGAGTCGGCCATGTTGGGTGTACAAAGTGCGGAAATGCGATAATGAAGAGCAGAACTGGCCTGAGTTGGCCGAGGAGGGGTCTTTGGGGGATTGGGAGCTGTAGACGGGAGGTTATCTGTGGAAGACATTGTGCGAGTGTGAGATGGGTGCTGGGTCAGGAAAGCTGATTGGAAAACTCACTGAAGCGGTCTGTAGTTATGTGTTGCGTGGATGGCCTACCAAAAATTGATTCGTGGCCGCAGGATATAAGATATACTAGTGAGACCGGTGGCCTACAACGGTAAGCGTCGGGGTTGAAGTTGGTACTGACTCGATTGCCTAATTGGGGAAGGAGAGCTAATAAACGCTGGAGCGAGCTTTCCCGCGGCTGCCGCGACGCGATCTTTGTGCAGCTCCATTCACTCGATATGTGGCGTTTTTGAGAACGCTGGGCTATCAGCCTCATCAAAAATTGGAGAATGGAACGTTTTCGTGTACAATCATTTACAGATGCAGCCCGGGCACCGAGCCTCAGTGAGGGCCGAGATGTAGATGGGCCCTTCCCAACTCGTGATTCGATATTTAGCGCTCGTCGTCGGCGGTGCTCGACCTCAGAAAAAAATCTGCGTGAGCCACTCTCCGCAGTAGTGTCGTACAAAATTCCTCAACGCTCGCCGGGAGAAAAAGCAAATTGGTCCGAACTCCTGTCAGGGAAAAAGTGGCGCCCGTGGATATAAATTGTGGTGCTCGTCTTGTCTTCCTTCGTCCCAAACCACATCCTTTCGCGTTTATTATATTGCCCGCACAATTTGTTAACAAACTCTGAAAAGCCCGTTGTATTGCTCAGACCATTTAGCCCACCGGCCACTACAACATCGATTATAGGACTTCCATTCGCTCGTTTATCCGACCACTTACGCCTTCAGTGCTCGCACAACAAGCAACAACTCCCTCGAACAATTGCCACTTTGCGTCCACAACGTCTACGCCTTACGTGCAACCAACCGCCTCGCAATCAAAACCAGATGCCCTCGAACAACGCCTCCGCCACATCCCACATTCGGCCGGTCACAATGCTCGCAACCGAGATTTTCAACGACCTGGATGACTCAGTCGAGGAGCTGAACTCCTGGCTCGCAATATATCGTCGCCTCGTACGTACGGCGCCTCCGTCGCTGCTCGAGATCGCACAGACGACGCTCGATGCTATGCACGATGTCTACACCAAGCGCGTGAAGGAGCAAGATCAGGTGGGTGCAGAGCTGGTAGGCGCCGAGCGCGGCCGCGCGATGGCTCGTGTTGATTTCGTCGCCAAGGAACACGGCCTCTACGGTAGCCATGGCGGTGACAA